TGACTCTCTAGTATGAATGAACAATTATCTTATCACAAATATTTAAAATGAATGTAATAATCAGTGTCTGTAACCAAGCTTCAGATAGTTATATTATATATTATCTTCATATAATAAATTATTCTAGAGATTGATAAGAAGGGTGAGAGTGTACATACTGAGAAATATAATTTATTAAGCCTACACAACATCTTCTTGAAACAGCAAGAACTGATAATGAAAGCAGAGACAGTAAAATCAGAAGTAGTGAAAGTGAAGGTTGTGAGAACAGAAGTAGCAGAAGCAGGAGAATCAGATATAGAAGTAAGAGTAGAAGATTGAGAGAGAGTAGCAGAGAAAGAAGCAGCAGAAGAGACAGAGAGAGACATAGAAGACTCAGTCATACATAATATAAGCAATTTCTTCATTATCACATTCTTCAAGTTCTTGATCAATGATTCAATATTGAGTTCACTATCATCAGTAGACACAGATCTGTCAACATGTAAAGATTTTACATGAATAAAAACAAATATATCAGCATCTATGTTCATGTAAAATCATGTCAGAAAACATGATCAGAAACTCACTGAGAAGAAAAACAGTCAAGAGTATATAAGAAGATAAAGAAGATGTGTCATTCATAGTAATACATTCTGATAATTATTAGAAGATAAACAAGTTCTGACTATGTACATTTCACAACACATTACACTTACTGCTAACAAACTGCTCAGTATGAGCACTACAATGATGCTTGTTATAAGAATGAGAGTAGACTGATCACTGGGACCATGAATTTCACATTTGATCTCATTTGATCTGGTCTCATACATTTCTTGGCGTGAATTCCACTGGGACTAGTCATTAAAAAAACATGCAAAGTGACTATATATAAGATCTTAAAATGAAATCATGACTTGAAAAAAATGAGAAAGTGATTTCATTTGATTGCATTTAGTCTTATTCTTAACATAAAGTTACTATTTTTAGACATTTTAAGGTTTTTTTTAGCCTATTTTTAATTTTTTAAAAAGTAATGCTTTTTGATAACACTCAAATGAGATTTAAAGTCATTTAAAGCAATAAAAATAATTTAAATTAAGAAGTGAAAATCATAGTCTCATTTGAAAAATGTGATAAGAGTAGACAGTAAGTTTCACTGAAACAGTATGAGACTACTATCTAATGTTAAAACCATGTAATGAGATCAGTCAAATTGATAATGAGACTATTAAAAAATCTGATTCTAATCTCAGACACAGTCACACGGTCAGTCTAAATAAGAGATTATTGTTAGAAATGTGTATAATGTAATAGATAAATGAATAGAAGATGTTGAATAGAAGAAGAAGTAGTAATCTTGAATAAGATAATAATGATGTTCAATAATAATAATGATGAAGAAGATAATTGAAGAATGAGAAAAGTTAGTGAATAAGTGATGTAATATAGTGAAAGTTTCTTTGTAAGAGTGTACATAAAACACTAGCTAAATCAGAGATAGATCACATAATTGTGAAACACTAGTAACAAGCTAATCTGTATGAAGCTAGAGTGTACAACATGGTCACATGGGCGTGACTGAATCTGATGAAGAAGGATGTGATTCGGAAGAATGTACAACTGATGAATAATAACACAGCTGCTTCTGAACTTGCTTACAAGTGTAAAGAGAGTCATAGCAGCCACTAATTAATTTAGCATATGATATATAAGAAGCCGGCGTACGCCTGTAATCATACGCTGGTAAGCAACCTTTGAATCACATCTATAATAAGAAACTTCTTGTAATTATCCACTATTTAGAAGAATGAAACTCTGAACTCTGAAGTATCTCTGAATTTAAGATAGTCACAGATTATAAGAATCTCAAATACTTTATAACTATCTGTAAACTCATTAAATAATAGATACAATGATCTGAGTTCTTAAGCTGCTTTTATTTTATAATATACTACTGTTCTGACAGTCAGAACTTGATGACAGATGCTCTCTTATAACAAGAGTAAGATATATCATTTAATGTAATAGATACTTACTGAATGAATCAAGAGCACTGACTCTTGAATCTGAAGATATCAGTTAATTAAGATAAAACAGCTCACAGCACTATACATACTTCTTCAATTAGAACTGTTACTAATATCTCAACTTCTTCTGAATCTATATTAGATAAGCTATGATATACAGCAGCTCAAACTGATGAACTTCTTTAAGCACTCACTAAAGCAGTATAATAAGAAGTACTCTGATTTCTCTCAGAATTACATGTAAGAACTGACATCTCAGAATATTCAATTAATAATAATAATACTCTATGATTCTGTGAACAATGCTGAGTCTCTCACTTCAAACTCTTATACATCTGAATAATGCAAGAGATGCATGATTCATATATAACTGATTATTCAGACTATAAACAACTGTATAGAATGATCTTCTGAGAGTTCTATTAATCTGAGATATTAAACAGTATCAGACACTTTGTCTGAAACTGTAACTACTGTTCTTCTATTATCTTATGAAAGAACTGTAGAAAAGATCTACTGAAATCACTTGATATTTCTAATAGAATCTAGTGAGATATAGTAATTAACTTCAGTCAAGTTCTCAAGATTATATACTATCTGTCAACTATCTATCACTCTGAGACTGATAATGCATTAGAACAGATAATTCAGACTGTAAAGAACTATCTCTGTAAGTTCTGCAATCACTTATAAGATAATTGATATAATCTACTTCTACACACAGAGATTGCTATCAATGAATAAGATGTTATTTCAATAGATATAAGCCTGTTCTTTCTTACACATAATTATTATATAAAGGTGTTAAATCTTCTAGAGATTACACAGTTTATATCAAATCTCTGCAGTCTGATTCAGATCACTGATAATATAGTAACAAAGCTCTGAGATGTTTGTGATTGAGCAGAGATCTTTATGACAATTATAAAATAAAATCAAGAGAATTAAATCAATGTTCACTGAGACTCTGCTGAATAATATAAGATAGAAGATCTGATATAATTGAATCCTAAGAATATATAAATCACATATTCATCTTGTACACTAGATTATCACTATATCAGATATAAAGTGATAGAAGTTCTAGATAGTCACAATTACTATCTTAATACATTATCAGAGATTCATGATATATTTTATATAAGCTTACTCTGCTATGCTGTCACTGATCTGTTCTCTTCTTAACTGACTTCTGACTGACAGTTATCAGGCATCATAGAAGAAGATAATGAGCTTGAGTGAGAGATTGAGAATATTCTTGATAAGAGACTTCACAGCTGTGACTGATAATATCTTATAAAATGAGTCAGCTATAATTAACTGACCTGAACTCTGAGTTCTGTATTATTTAAAACAGTGACTCTTGATCAATGAGAACTGCTTCTGAAAGAGAGAGACTAATATAGTGAGCTGCATCTGATCAATTATATAGACTATTCTGTTACACTTTATAGATTCTTTCACTTTACTTCATAGATTCTTTCACTTCACTCTTGAACATGTATACTTCAATTCTCAGTCATTCTCAATCACTGATTCTCAGCTGTTATAAACACATATAAATTCTTTCACTCTGAAGCTTCATTATGTACATCATCACATACATGTATAAATATTCACTTCAATAACTGATTTCTACACTTTCTCTTTCTTTCCTTCTCTAATGTTTTTCTCTTTGTTATATAAGACCTATCAATATTATACTGATTTATTCAGCATAGACCTCTTACATTAACTGATTTCATTACACAGTTTTAACATTAAATAGTAGTCTTATACTGTCTCAGTAAGACTTACTGTCTACTCTTATCACATTTTTCAAATGAGACTATGATTTTCACTTCTTAATTTAAATTATTTTTATTGCTTTAAATGACTTTAAATCTTATTTAAGTGTTATTAAAAAGTGTTACTTTTTAAAAAATTAAAAATAGTCTAAAAAAAACCTTAAAATGTCTAAAAATAGTAACTTTATACTAAGAATAAGACTAAATGAAATCAAATAAGATCACTTTCTTATTTTTTTCAAGTCATGATTTCATTTTAAGATCTTATATATAGTCACTTTGCATGTTTTTTTAATGACTAGTCTCAGTGAAATTCATATCAAGAAATGTATGAGATCAGATTAAATGAAATTAAATGTGAAATTTATAGTCTTAGCAGTCAGTCTATATATAATAAAGATAACTTCTAAATTCAGTAATCTTAATAGTATCAGAACTATACTCTTAAAGAGAAGAATATTATTATACTCTCAGCTATATTAAGACTCTTTTATAGTTTTATACAGCTTAGTACTTTTATACAGATAATTTCATTTATTTCATAGATTATTTAAACTGATTTTTAATCACTTTATAATATTATTCAGATATAATATAAAAAGATCTGATTAATAAATATAAGAATCTTACTTTTATATAAGATTAGTAGATTACTCTTTTATAATAGTAAAACACTGCTGAGATATTACTCTGACTATTCTTACTTATAAAATAAGAGAAGAGTATCTGCTCATTATCTATATAAAATAGCTAGATACTGATTTCTCATTAAAGAGATCAGTAATTTGTTTTTCTTCTACTGAAATATATATAAGAGTTACTGCATTTCTCATATAATCTTCTTAGTATATTAAGTACTATATCTGTAATATTCTCATAATAACTCTGTAGCTCACAAGCTTACTATTTAAGCAAGATAGTCAAGCTCACTTCTACAGCTTCTCAAACAACTACCTCTATGTAATGCTGCTGACTAGTCACTGCTTCGGTTCCGCCACGTTACAGATTTTTGCACAAAACAGGTCTCATAACCTGTGGAAGATGTAAAGCTTTCTTGATTGAAAAAGTTATATGGTGGAAGGATTAGTAAGCCAGATCACGTGACCTGACAGGAGAATTTGAGCGAGTGTTGGGTACGCTAATTCATAAAGTAAGTTACTGGCTTAATTTTTCACTTAATTTCAATCAAGGAAGCATGAAGTGAGGTTAAATCTATTTAAAGTTGCACCATCAAAATCATGATTCCCTTACAAACATCGAACATCAACTCAAGCTGCCAACTGCCAATACCTCATTCGTGATACCCCCGTCACTCACAAACGTATTCCATTTATGTATCTCCACTTATATAGCCTTGCTTTATCCTAAATACCACATCACGGGGTCTGTCGAATAAATGTAGCATCCGATGACAACCCAGGAAGAAGATATCGCGAAGTTTTCCAGCCCGGACGAAGGTATGAATAGCTCTAGTACTACCAATATGCACCATGAATAAAACAGAAAAGGGATCATGAATGAGTTCTGGTGCCTCATAAGTGACTGCTGCAATGCCTATGTATATATATATCAGATATAATCGAACTCTGTGCAGGGGCCGCTTGGGTCGCCCAACATTTCTTTATCCAGGCCAATTTTGCATTCCGCTTCGAAAATCATATTGCTAACTAACTGTGTTTAATAGCCCGCCAAAAGAAACGCCCAAAGGGCTCATTTCATGCCTTCGGGAGGGTTAAATTACCTCCTCTGTCAACCTGGGAGGGTGATGGTGCAGTATCTACTGGGCTCCCACGCCTGGATGCTGCTCTGGCACTGCCCTCTGGACTGAGACCATCCCCTTTGGGCCCCGGACGGAACAGTCAACGTTATAACGGCCACCAGGATGTGCCTGCGAAGGGTATCAAGCGCGGAGAAGTTACAGAGGTTACAGGACCGCGGGGAGTGGGGAAGACCTCACTTGCGTGAGTATTCTCGAAAGCGTCGCCATCATCCGCGCTTAAGACTGGGCTATTAATAACCCATGAGTTGAGATACAAACAAATGTAGCTGATTGAATACTTACAGAATGGGAATTGCGGCACGGGTATTACAGGCGGCGCAGAAAGTTATCTGGATAGGTTAGTATCATTGCCAGGGAGTCGTGCTCCTCGTCTGATTATTTCAGGGAACCCTGAGCTCACAGTAACCCTATTGCCTACAAATTATAATTTTACATGGATATACTATCTGACATTGGTAGATACCGCTGGCCCTATGAACCCAACAAGGCTCAAAGACATCTGCCAAAGAGTTAGAGTTTCAGGCTTATCCGACAACTCATCCGATGCAGCGTCAAATGGAGGCAGGAGCGACGAAATCCTCAACGAGCTAATATATTTCCACCCACCAACACTTGCACATCTCCTAGCCCTAATATCTCATCCGCCAAAGGGCTTCCCACCCCAAGAAACAGGCCTAATCGTAATTGACTCCATCTCCTCCCTCTTCACCTCCGAATACCGCACCAAACTACCACCGAGAAACAGTAACCCAAAACACAGGACAACCGCGGAATCCAAAGAGGAAAGAACTCGCTGGAAAATCATCGGTAATCTGGTTATGGATTTGAAAAAACTTGCTGCCAGATTAAATTGTGTTGTTATCGTCATAAACGAAATGGCTTCGCGGTTCAGGGGAACACAGCCACCTGTCCTTCACGAGGCCCTCTCGGGCATAACATGGGACTCCGGGGTCACTACACGCATAAAGCTTTGTTGGCATTGGCTACCCCCTAGCCTTCGATCACGAGTGCGCATGAAACGTGTGCGATTTGCGGAGGTGGCTAAGGTTGAAAAAGTCGGGCTTATGCATGGGAGATCGCTCAGGATCGTTCCATTTGTAATTAAAAAGGTATGTACGTACGTACTTAACGTCATCCCAAGCCGAGCGAGTTTCTCTCCCTCTCGATGAGGTATTCACCTAGGGTCCCTGCTTGGTCGGAGCCTTTTTATTTTTTATTTTGTTTTGTTTTGTTTTTGGTTTGTCTTTCTAGACGACAGGGATGTAAATTTCATATGGATATATCGGCTCTGTACACGTCGGGGAGGAATGAATAACAATTTTAATAATGATTGAAAATATCCAAATAGACCGGTCTGCATGAATTCGGTCCCCGGCCTGGCGGCACACCGCTTTCCATCTTCACCCGCATCTCCAAGCGCCCGCATGTAGTACATGTGCGTTCGAAACGGAAGCTCGACCTTGTTATCGATGGCAGCCCCGACACAAGTCGAAAACATCGAATGGAGCCTGCCACAACAACGCCAGGGTTCAAACTTCAAAATAGCGAGCTGGATGAAGGTACCGGTGGGACGACACCGTCCGATGCATCTTTAGCCTTATCGATAAAAGAAGAAGACGAACAGGAACAGGGCTATGAGTATGAATGGCTAGATGAGGAGGGAATAGAATTTGTTGATGAGACTGTTGATGGGGAGGAGCCTGGAAGTGATGACCATGCTGGCTCTGGTGATGGTAAGGGTGATGACAGTCCTTGCCTAAGCCACAACATGGGAGAGGATATTGATGATGATACAGTTCTTCTACTACAGAATATCTCTAGCGAGGACGAATTTGATTGAGTTGGTTGGTTGGGCGCTGCTTTTTGGAATTTGTCTTTTTAGTGTTAGAAAACCCAACTATGTAACTTGAATATAGCCGATGTAATGGTCCCTAGGGCTACCGGAAAACCATTTGACTCTCCACCAATAACTGTACGCACAAGGGTTTGCAGATCTGGACATTAACAGCTGGCTGTTGCAAGCCGCGAAGCTGAGGAGACCACAGCTCAAAAGTAACACTTCTTAAGTATCCGAATATCCACATCTTCCGTTCGTGTGAATGCATTCAAGAGAAAAAGCATTTATCTGGCCGGCCTGCTCTCAATTTTGGTCCTCGAACTGTAGGTATGCTAGGTGCCTTTGAGAAGGTAGACCACTGCAGTAAAGGGGTTAAACCTGAAAGCGGGCATGCCATCTTGAGATATCTAGCCATATATATGTTCTTATCCGGCGTTTGCTTGCTAAAACAATCTTATCCTACACATTTCCGCGTCTATCGGCGCAGTTACTCAGCTCTATGTCTTGGCGTCAGTACCTACAGAAACGGCGTAACTAACGCCCACTGTGGTGGCACCAAAAGCTTTCCAGCCAAATAGGCCTTAAAACATTTCGCCTTGAGAGCTACTTGCGGCCCCACCCACTATTATCCCTATCATAGTGGTAGGCAAGCCGTTATGATGACGATGCACCGCGAGGGGGTAGTTGTGGCGGAGAGGGGAGCAGAGTTGGAGTGAGAACCTGACGGAGCCTGAAGCCACGACATCAACAGACAGAGCTCAGCTCTCATCGAGATCACAGGTTCTGCTTTCTGACACTGCGGATATCACGTCATGAACAGGCCATCGAAAGTGACTATGGGCCACTCTGCTGTGCAAGATCTCTCGTTCCAGTTGGGTGTTCTGCGGAAGCGATCGATTTAGGAGTAATATCTCCATTCCACCTGAGACCTCTATTGGGATTCAGTGGAAAAAACAAATAATACTGGCGGGATTGTACAGCGTGCCATGGCCGCAATGTTCCAGGAGGCCGTAGTTTCCACAGTTTTGCACATTCAACATCTCTGTGCTGATAAACCACGGGTTGGAGCGTCTCAGATGGACCTGGAGTAAGAAGGTCTATAGCCATGTTCCGAAGCACTATAGGATACTGCAGCTGATATGAATTTGTCCGGCTCAAAGCTTAAATCTTCGGATTCAAAGCCCGTCAAGTTCAGTTTGTCAAATCGGTCGTCTTCGAGTTTCACTCACTACGCAGTGCGCATCCCGTCACAGGCAGAGTGAGAACTACCAGCCCAGAGAAAGGGTATTTATATCTTCTGCGCTATTTTTGGTGAGATCCGACAACCGAGCTGACTCCTATGAGAAGGATCACTACTCCGTAACGGTGTGGGCTATCCTACCAATGCGTTATTACATCGAGCACAGTTTTGGACAACTGCCTGGGATTGATAGTGCGCCTCTCGTGCTCTACCAGACTACCTATGCATGTACGGAGTAATGTACCAAAAACAATTCCTTTGCTGACGGAACTTTCAGATAGTGGGACGAGCGGGAAGAGCAAGCCCCGAGAATCCCAGCCCACTTATGTGTACGGAGGTATGCTCCCTCCAGACTATCGGCCCGGGAGTCTGCAAAAGGCGTACATACATCCGAAGTACACTACTCCCTATAAATAGTGGAGAATCGGAGTCCCTGTTCCTGGCGCCTCCACAGCACTGCTCCACAGTCCAGCTATTTAAGCGATATGAGCGTCGGGCCAAAAACGACCCTATCGAACGGCGTCGAGCTAAACCGTACAACAACGGGCGGGGCCAAGTTATTTACATCGGGTCAAGAGACACTCACTACCTTTTTATAGGTTTAGTGTGTAACTACATGATATTACATACGGAGTGCGGAATACGGAGTAACTAGTCTTTGAATGTAGTTTTCAAAGTATTGACGTATGAATGACGGAGTACAGTGCCTACCTCTCACGTTTTAATTCGCATCCGCACAAGTCAGTCCTTAATGCGGAGGTCGCGTCGCATTGAGATTAGATACCACATCTTCCACAATCTGGTTGACAAAGAGGGAATCATGATGGAACATGTTGGTTGAAGGTTCTATGGCCAATATAGCTGATGTGCCTCATCAAGCTGCTAGCAAAGCCTGTTTTGGAAGAGATTGGTGTTGAGGGTCCGGGGGTTGATCGGCCCTTCTACCAGCAGCGCTGGTGGTGACTGAGTTCTTTTGCCCCAGTAGCCTACAATTGGTAAGGGTATGTTAGCCTAAGTCACGTGCCACCCGAACCTGTCATACTTGCGCCTTGGATGGGACGCTGGTCGAGTGTACATGTACATGTACATATATCAAAATACCACAACGTTCTAATCCTCCAATAGTAGCCGGAGCACTACCAACAGTTTACCATGTCAGGGCGGACCTCCGGTATTAATAGGGTTCTGTTAATTCGTTTGCTTTGGCTGAGTCTAGCTCCGTTTGACTATCAGGTGCTAAGCTCTAACCCATGTGGCCCAGCAGGCGTTTTCGGAATGGGATCTCCCTATCCAGACTAGAGTGTTCCAGGACGAGATATGGCCTTTTCCGGGACCGACTTTGTTCAACTTCAACGCTGGCGGCTTTATGCACGCATTGATTGCCTGGCTCTTATGAAGATTTCATGGACTTGCTCCGCCTCTAAGAAGCCCGATGCAGAAATGATCTGTGCCGTGCAGCCAGCCAGAGTCCCAAACCCAAAGGCAACACGATGAAGAAATTTTGGGTCCTCCGGCGCGAAATTAACTCCGGCCATTATTGGTTTTATATAAAGCTGACCTGGTCCCCGGTACAGTCTCAGCCTTCCTGGTGGTACCTTGAACTAGTATGATCCATTATTGACTCCTGCTGTACGGAACGAAATGGCGGCTCTAGAGCCGAAAAGTGGCTACCTGGCGGAGTTGGTATCAACATCCAACCTGCCCTCTGTCACCTTTGTTGTCACCGCCTTGACTTTGATCTTATTCTACACTCTACAACGTCGCAAACCTAATGTGCCGCTTATCAACCCCAAGCGGTGGTTCGAAGTTTCGGATCAGAGGATCAAGCAGGAATTCGTTCACAATGCAATTCCGATGATAGAAAAGGGCTTTGCTGTGACTGGCAACAAGCCGTTTCGTGTCCAAGCAGATAGCGGAGAAGTCACGGTTCTCCCTCCCAATGTTGCCAATGAGATTAAGAACGATGCCCGCCTAAGCTTTGAATTGAATACCTCTAGGGTAAGGCTACCTTGGTTGGTTCTAAGATAGAAGAACAGTACAAAGCTAACGCCAGAATGATGAAGGCCTTTTTCGGTCACCTCCCAGGCTTCGAAGTCTTCAATACCGATGGATGTAACATGAGAGTTGCAAAGTCTATAGTCCAACGCCAGTTGACTACTTATCTTGGTAAGAAGTCTCTGGCCGGCCTCGCCTTCTAAACTACTCAGACTCTCAGTCCTGAGTCAAACATTCTTACTTACTTGAATCATTTTCTCAGCCAAAGTAACAAAACCGCTCTCTGATGAAGCCACATTGTCTCTTCGGGAAATTTTAACAGACAACAAAGGTGAGACTCCAATCCCAGAACCCAGAACATTGATGTGCTGGTTGCTAATTTACGCTGAGCAGAGTGGCATCAAATTACCCTGAAAAATGAACTTCTACAAATCATTGCCCGCCTCTCCTCCAAGGTCTTCCTCGGCGACGAACTCTGCCACGATGAAAGGTGGCTAGACATTACTATCAACTACACTCTCCATGCGTTCGCAGCTGCAGATTCCCTAAGAATGTGGCCTTCCTATCTTCGTGATATCGTCCACTGGTTCTTGCCGAGGTGCAGGGCGTCTCGAGCAGAAGTTGCCAGAGCACGTACGGTCATTGGGCCTATTTTGAAGAAGCGTGCTGAGCACAAAGCAGCCCTCGCAGCCCAGGGAAAGGAACCCCCTGGGTTGAATGATGCTATTGAATGGTTTGAAAACGCCTCAAGAGCCGAGGGTACTTATGTTGATCCTGTTATAGGCCAGCTTGGACTCGGTCTTGCTGCTATTCATACTACGGTAAGAGAATCCTCGGACTATTCGGCACATTTTGAGAAGTGACAAGGTGGTGGTCGGTCTGGATCTAAGATTGTTGGCACAATATCCCAAGAACCGACCCATAAAACCAAGCATGATATTCTCATTGGTACTTAATACTAACAACTTGCATTGTCATGTAGAGCGACCTCTCAACCCAAGTGATTCTTGACATAGCTTCGCATCCGGAAATCATCGAACCGTTGAGAAAGGAGATAATCGAAGCTCTGAGAGAAGGCGGGTGGAAAAAAACCTCACTCTATAAAATGAAGCTTCTGGACAGCGTCATCAAAGAGAGCCAGCGCATGAAGCCCATTACGTCTAGTAAGACATCTGCCTTCCCCCTTATATCCCCTGAACGAGGCATATTGGAACGGACATTAAGGGGAAAATTAAATTAAATGACAAAACATACCCCGTACTTACAAGCCTTCAGTCAGCATGGGCCGCGTAGCAACTACCGATATCACTCTATCCGATGGCACCACCATTCCTAAGGACACTCACACAGTAGTCTCTAGCCACAGCATGTGGGATCCCCGAGTCCACACCAACGCAGACCAATGGGACGGCTACCGTTTCTATAACATGCGCCAGGTCCCCGGACAAGAAAACAGCTCACAATTCGTCAGCACTAGCCCAGATCATCTTGCCTTCGGACATGGCCAGCATGCCTGCCCAGGCCGGTTCTTCGCCGCCAACGAGGTCAAAGTGCTACTCTGCCATTTGCTCCTAAAATATGATCTGAAGGTAGTGGAAGGGTCGATGATTAAGCCATTTAGGTATTCGTTTTCGATTAGTGCGAACCCCATTGCGCCCCTTATGATCCGGAGGAGGGAGGACGTGATTGATCTGGATTCGCTAGAAGCATAAGTTATTAACTTTTGCCCTTACGCATGTTGGGCTTGGGTCTTGGTAAATGACGGCTATGGAATTTAGCAGGGGCATTTCGAGGAAGAAATTGGACCGGCGCACCCATTTGAGGAACTACCCCTTCAGATGGTAATTTCGGAACGGGCGACAGTCTTTCCGCCCGGCTGGAAAACCTTCGCGCTTGAAGAGTATCGCTATGCATTCTTTTGCATTCTTTGTTTTTTTTTAACTCCCTTTCTTTGTCCTCGAGTTGGCCAACTCATGCGTGGAAAGTGAACATTGCAGAAATCTGGATATATATACCAATCCCGTCTATATGTTAATACTGGCTTATGGTTTGTTTACTTTTGTGTTTCCTTTTTCCTCGAAGGCTTTTCGCAGCTTTATAAAAATCCAAATATATTTACTGCAAGATACTATTTCGATATTAAAATAATTTTTTTTTCTAAACATCGTTACCTTTCCAGTTTTCCCCTTCTTCAAAGTCTTTGTTTGTCTTTGCCAGTTTTTTTCTCGCCAATCACCCTCACGCACCCCGCTCTCTCGAATGCCAGCATGCACCATGCAGCAGGGATGCGACGTATATCATGCGCGCATATAGAAAAAATAAAAAATAAAAAATAACGAAGTACAACACCACTCTCTCAACTTTCCATGCTAGGTTAATGTAGAGGTGTCGAAGAGTCGCCGGCAGAAATCATGACTGGTTCGTATTAAATTGCTCTATATATAAACCTAGCCCGAATGAATAGAGTTTATGTTGCATATGACGTTACCCGGCATACGGGGTAAGCACTGGAAGAGGGATGATGTGGTGGTGGTTCTCAGCAGGGTCGGCTTTGATGAGAGTGTTTTGTTTCTGAGTTGCACAAATCTATATAGAACTGTAACTATGAAGACAGAGAAGAAAGCTCAGCATAAGCTTAATTAAATCTTTCACTTATTCCAAGCAGCCTTCCAAACAATACGAACATCCCGCCCGCCCCCGCTATCCCGCCCCTCTGACTACTATGTATTCTCCACAGCCATTCTCCATAATTTAGACTATTTATACTATCATACATACCCTCGCACCCCCGGCCCGCAAGTCGCAAGTCGCAAGTCGCAAATCGCAAATCGCATCCCTCCCCGCCCCGCGGACTCCGCGGATCCGCGAACACAAAGAACTGTAGGATAGTTGAAGGTTGTATTGATAGATCTATCTACAAGAACATAATATAGTGGTGGGTCACGTGATCTGATGGGATCGCTAACCGCAACGGCCGTAACGGCCAACACCCCCCCTCGAGATAACAAGAATCACATACAAAAACACCCAATCCACCAAGATAGTCTGTCAAAACCAAATACAAATGTAAAATTAAGCATTCCCAACTTTTACACCTGTAAGATCTAGCAAAATCATGAATCATATAAATATCATAGTGTCTAGAGATTTAGTGAGTTCATCTGCTATTATCTGAGTGATAAGAATATATTTCAAATCAATGACTCTCTGATTCAACTGTCAACATGAAAAATGAAAATATGTGTTAATATACTTACTTTAGGCTGTAATGACTGTCATCTTTATAAGATCTATAGTACTCTTATTATCAGCAAGAATCTGTATCAGAGATGTAATAATGAAGTCAAGCTTAATTATAAGATTCTGAATTTATATTACTTTGTAGACTGTCTTACTAAGAGTTATATATTTAATTTTATTGAAACTTAGAGATATACAAGATTGTTTCACTGATTATCATGAAATCAGATTATCTGCAAGCTTGAAAATGTAGCTGAATATTGATTTTCTATTATTATTTAAGAGACCTGCTCAATTGAAATCTGAGTAGCTGAAGAGTAAGTAGAAATTATTGAGAAAATCAGAGAGAATGAATCTCTCATACAGACTGTATCTGTAGAAAATACTTAAATTCATTATCTCTTTCAAATAATATATAATATATAACAGAGTCTTTCAATATTAAGATATTGAATTAATGTTCTGCTGAGTAAGTAGTGAGATAGTATAAGTAATATCAGAATGTGTTTTAACTGTAAGATATTGTAAACAGCTCACATTATATTAATATTACTGAATTATGAAATCAGTCTCTTTCTCAGATATTAAGAAATTATTAATACAGAATTCATTCTTTATCAGTGTTTTAATAATAACTATATTATCAAGATAGAAATCTTTAATAAGATATTTAATATATTGATAATATATTAAATCAATTTCTTTGTCAGAATAATTAACTTTTATACTTAAATACTTAATTAATTAATATAGATTCTTGACTTTTAATTTCTCACTGAGTATACTCACTAGTTAATCAGCATTCTCAGAAACTTCAGATATAATATTAAGATTGTTAATATAGATTATTATATAGAGATGATATCTGAATATATAATATCAGAGTACTGAATTATAAATACTGACTGTAAATTCAAGATTACTTAACAGAGCTGTTAAGTAATTATATCAGATCTTTATTACAGAGTTCAGACTATATAAACTACTCTCAATTATATAGATAAGTGTTTTCAGTGAATCTGTCTCAAATCTGATAAGTTGTATTATTATTATTATTCTTCAATTATAGATGTATACAGTCAGAGACTATGATATCTACCTGAGAATCTTTAGTTCTCAGGGTTTTTTCTATATCTATAGAGTCAACTATTATACACTTAT